CCAGTGCCATTCTGTGGGTCTCCGGTGTGCCTGGACGCCATTATGTGTCTTCTGGTATACTAGAGACTCAAGTCTGCTTGAGCAGCTGCAGATACCATTTGTGCTTCTCACGTTCCCTGTCTTTCTTCTAGAGAGCCAACTGGACAGAGACTACTCCCTCAAACAACTACATGAGGAGCCATTTGGAGATAGGGGTCAGAACACAAAAGGCTCCACACATCTCACAGAAATCAGGGTAGACTACACTCCACACAGGCGGAAGAAGTCCTTACTGAACCAAATGGAATTTTTCCTGAAGTGAGTACCTTGAGCCTATCTTTAAGAACTGTGCTTTCATGATAAAACATGAAGGAGGTTTGGATAAATTTCCAGTATTTAAACTGCCTTTGTAGGGGCCATGTAGAGACAACCTTTTAGAACACAGTGACCTTTAAGAACGCATCTCTGAGGTCAGGCTTGGCCTCTAATCAGTGGGCAGGCTTGCTTACATTATGTATTTTGCTCTGTTCGTCCCAGTAGGAGGGGAAATTCTGGGGACAGTATGACTATAGTTATCTGAAAAATTGAACTAGGAAACTTTTGAAATGTACTTTTTGCAAATAAACTTTTTTTTCTTCTATAATGAATTAAAAAAAAAAAACCTAGAAGAATGCCAAGTCAAGGAAATTTCCCAAGAAGGCTCAGGATGCTCAAAGAATTCCATGATCCATCGTCAAAAATCTTTCCTGAGATGCATGGAATCTGAAGAAGGGGGAGGGGAGGCAAGTCCAATACATTCTTGATGTTGCTGAACACACAGTCCTCTTGTCGCTAACCAGCTAGTTTTGTTTGTTAAAGGTTGTCTTGAATAAATAGAGGCTATAGAGAGTCGAGAGTCCCCAACGTTGCCATCCTTGGCTCTGGTCCCACCTGAGTGCCTTTCTGTCTCACGTGAGCAAGACACTGCATCCTGCTGTTTGAGTTGGCTTTGCCCGGCTCCATGACTTCAGTCCCTTGTCTCTGTTTTCCAATGTGTGGGATCGTTTCCGTCTTCAGAGCACAACTGTTTTTCCGATTTGAATAATCATCCAGGAAGGCCTTGGTAATAAGGCCTTTGTACCATTACCAGCCTTTCTAATAATATGTGTCTTTCTCATCCTTCCTACTTGATGATGACAAATTGCAGCTGAAGAAGCTTCGTGGGAAAATGCAACAAACCATTTTACTCTGTGGATGGAAACCTGTGATTGTACCAAGAGAAACGAAGGAAAAACTGCTGATGTTTGGAGAAGTTGAAATAAGGGCCGAAGAGCAGATAAGTATTTCAGCATCTCATGGAAGGGGTAACAGGGTATTAGGATGGCTCAGTGTGCTCACTGAACTAGGAAAGCAGTGAGGCCAGGTCCACCAAAGGCATATGTTATGGCATATCAAAGGCCTGGCTTGGCTGAGGTCTTCATGCCGGACTCAAGGTTCTTATGGTGGTGGGAGCTCCTTCTACAACAGTGCCTACCTTGCTTCTTGGAGGTGGGCCAGCACTCTAGGAAACCAGCTTTCCTGGTGAAACTGGTCTTTCATAATGGAAACTCAGAAGTGATGGGTGATATACCTTCTTGGTCACAATGACACGGAGCAAGATGATGTAAAAAGAGTTCAAGATGTGATGCTCTGGGAGCTTCAGTTACAGCCATGATGGAGTCCTCAAGTCAGCTGGGAGAGTGGCGTTGCTCATAGCTCCGGGACTTACGACAATGGACATCTGTGTTCCTTCCCTCCTGCAAGCATTTCTATTTTTTTTAATTAATACCCATGTTTCCTTTGATGAAATTGTTCTTTTCCTGGTCTTCTGGTCTTGGAACATAGTAGGTCCATATGCTTCAGATCTGGCCAAGCAGCCAGTCCCATGCTTGTGTCTATTCTAATTGGCTCGGCCATAAGGATAAAGAAAGTAGGTCGAGATAGTTTGGGTTTTGATGATGAGGCAAATGACTCTTGATGATACCATTAATGTAATTACGTTCACCTCTTCCTGAATCTTTCTGTCACCTAGTGAACCTCTTTATTCATTTAAGTACATCTGAGTTGACTTTCTATCCACTAAAACTAAAAGAGGAATCCGAGTTCACACTCAATGCAGGGCAGAGAGGTAGTCTATCCCTCCTCCAGGTTGGGGCTCTTTCTCTTGTTAGGATGGAGGCGACAATTAGTGTTCCACAGAAGGGATGCATACAAGGGCAGATTCTCAAGAATAGAAGATACAGTGGTTAGTAGTTGGACCACAATATTACTGGTTCCACTGACTTTATTCTGGCAGCAGCCTAGGAAGTGACTCCAGGTCCTTCTAAACCCTGATTTAATTGTAGCATTTGCGGGAGAGTTCCAGATATTACATGCTCTCCTGTGGGTTTAAGGAAGGGTGGGTGGTCCCTGGAAGTTCTATGTGGGAATTCCCTTTGAGAATTGGTTTCAGAATGTACAGCCAAATAGATAATTGAATTAGAGAAGGCCACCAATTTTTTTCTGAATGCTACTGAAGACATTGGATGGAAGCAATTCACGCCAAAACATTTTCATTACCATCTTTTAGAGGCTAAGTTTACACCATGACCAATGAACCCCAGATTGTGATAAATGGGTGGCCTTGTCAGTTATTTTTTTGGGGGGGTTATAAAACACATTTTAAGTTTATAGTATTGTTTTAAACCTGTTGGAGCACACCATCCTAGAGCATATATTCTTGAACTCTGAATGAGAACAGTGTAGCAGGTCCTGAAACTTAAAGGTCTGGTCATGTTCCAAAGCCATAGATCTAAGTCCTAGAGTTTCCACAAGACAATGAATTCTAAGCTGTCCTAAGGTCTAAACAATAAAAGCTAATTGGCTCTCCAATATAATGAATTCATCTCAGAAACACTTCCTCTAATAACCCTAATCAATAGTAAATTTTAAAAAAATTGTTACTATCCATCCATCCATCCATCTATCACCTATCTATCTATCTATCTATCTATCTATCTATCTATCTATCTATCTATCTATCTATCTATCTATCTATTATCTGTGCTTATGTGTGCTCTTATGCACAGACCATGGCTCACATGTGGAGTTCAGAAGACAGCTTTTGGGAGTCAGTTCTTTCCTTCTACTGTGTGAGTTCCAAAGATCAAATTCAGGTCATCACTCTTGGTGACAAGTGTCTTTCTCTATTGAGCCATCATGCTGGCCTCCACAGTAGCTTTTTATTCCTTGTATTTGCCATAAAATCCCATTGGATGTGTTAGTGAGGTTCATATCATTACGATGTGAACCTAACCATGGGAGAAAAGGTTTATTTCTGGCTTGTGTCTTCAGAGTTTTAATTCTTGGTAACATGTTCTGTTGCTTTGGTGTATAGTGTCATATGCCATCATGGGGGTGAGTATGTGGCCAAGGAACCTGTGCACCTCATTGCAGCTGAGAAGGAAAGAGAGAGGCAAGAAGGGATTGATGTCCCAATAGTCCCTTCAAGTGCATTCCTTCAGTAACCTAACTTCACTAGGTCCCACCTCTAAATGGTTCCGCCACCTCCCAGTACCCCAAGGCTTATTTCCAAACATTTAACACATTGGTCTTGGCTGGACAGTCAGAATCCAATCTACAGCAAAGAGTTGGTTTAAATTGTTTTTCTCTACTCTTACACACACGCAGTTATACTAAGTGTTAGCATGTGATATAGTTCTCTCATTATATATTAACCTGACACTTAGGCCACAAGACACATATTATTCTATCTCTCAGTATGTTCCCCATCACATGTCCCACACAGTAGGGGCCAAGATAGCATCAGTAAGTACTAGATAGTCCATCACTTAAGCCCTTCCCCTTACTTTGGAACACACATCTCCTAGGTTTCAACTTCTGATTAGCTCCTCTTCAGTCTAGACAGTTCATCTTCAACACTCATTCAAGAAATAATGGCTGAATAGTTCCTAAGTATCATATGCTATTATAGTCCCAGAAGACCCAGAAACAACCAAAAAAGATCTCATTTCTAGTCCTTAAAAAACACGGAATTTCAAGTCACAGAATGCTGGACAACAGGCTGTGAAATAGCTAAGTTCTCTTAAACTCCCATTTAAAAAGTGAGGTGGACTCGCTCACAAGCCTCGGAGTGAGGGGAGACAACACCACCCCAGTGCTACCAAGAACTGTCCCCTGATGTCATGGTTGGCTCCCAGCCAAAGTTCTCCTTTCAGTGAAAGGGTTTTCAGCCTTGGCTAGGGGCTTCACTGAGACTTAGTCAAGGTTCATTCTTAAAGGCTGTCTGTTTTCCTGTTTACTTATCTTTTCATTTATTTGGGAATATTTACTTCTTGGCTTTCTATGTAGAAAGTCATTGTTAATCTTACTTCCTAAGTGGCTGATGCAATAGTCATCCTCCGGGAAACAGCATGTTGGACAGGATCACAGGCACTCAGAATCTTGGGTAGACATGGTTCCTTTAAAGCGATGGCTCTGTTGACCACCTCACATCAGGCAAACATGAAGCTAGACTATGGAAAGCCTCTGAACTCTTCTAATCCTGAATCAAGACCACCATCACTGCCAAACGATCTCTGGTGCCATTTGTATTTCCCTGAGACTTTATTTTCTTACTAAGATCAAATAATATTTAGTTGTTTCCCAGACTATACACCCATGATATCAGGCTGAATATTTTTCCAAATTTATTTCCACCCAGAACTCTCTTTGAAAATGATGCCTTTAAGATATAATCAAGTCAAAATGAAGTCATATTGAATTGAAATTAGGCTTCTGTCCTTTTAAGAAAAAAAAATAATTTGGATTTAGAGGCACACAAGGAAGAATGCCATGAGAAAATGACAGCAGGAGCTGGGGTTACATTCTACCAAGACAAAGAATGTTGAAGATCACCGGAACTCACCAACAGCTAGAAGGAAGTGGGGGAAATCCTCCGTTGCAGTCTTCAGGGGGATCATGATCCTACCAACCCCTGAGTTTTCAACTTTTGCCTCCAGAACTGCAATAAAATAAGCTTTTATTATTTCAAACTACCTACTTACTGGGGACTTACCCAAGCGAACACAGGAAATCAATATAGCAACAGACATCCATGGAAATCTAGCACAGGAGGAATGGCTGAAACCAAAGCAGAACCAGGAGATACATAGTTTCTTTCTTCGTGTTTTTTTTTTCTTGGTGTACTCCTGGTTTCTGTTATGCAGCAGACTCCAGGATGATAATGTGCGTCATGTTATGGGATTGTCCACTCTGGTCTCTGAAGTCATAACATCTTGGTCCATGAAGTCTCTCAGGATTCAGCTTGAATCTATTTAATTCGAGAGAGGAATATCTGAACTTTGGGCTGAATGAAAATGGCAAGATTTATAGATCATACCAGACCTAGGTTGACTCTAGGAGACCATTCTAAAGAGAATGTAACTGTCTCAATAAAGGATGCAATGGTCACTAGGGTCAAAACTTAACTTTTCTCCCTGTGTTTGCCTTTGACACGTGCTTTCTTTGGGAATGTGGTCCTAGGGGAGTGGCAAACAGACACTTTGAGTTGTCCACCATCACTAGGAACTGGTGTTAGACATGTCTAGAACACTCAAAAGTCTTCGGCAACATGCCATGAGAGTATATCCTTCAGGATAAAAACGAGGAAGATTTTATTGACTGGCTGATGTTTTTCCTCAAAAAGGACCCTACATTCATTAGCTTTCTCTTACTTCCAGTTGGTATACACTCAAGGGTAAGAAAGCTTCTCTGTCATCTACCCCATAGAGGCAGGGCAGGATGGGATAGGCACCAAGCACAGACTAAGCTAAGGCAGAGCTCAATTGTTTGAAGTTACTGTGCTGTTTATTGGCAGAGCAGTGGCTGCAGAAAGAGTGGGGAGCAGGCTGAAGACCTAGGAACAGTGCATGAGAAGTATCTGATATGCTCAGTGTCATCGAAGCAGATACGATTTTCTTTTACTATACTCTTTCCGAGTCTGGTGAGAATATTGTCTCTTGAGGCAAGGGTAGCCTATCATTCTAACTATTAAAAAGGCCAACACCTTGGAAGCTGGGCATGCTGGAAAAGCAAGGGAGAACTCATCAGATGGGGACCTATACCACTCCCCGAGACAGAACCAGACAATTAAAGAAGAAAATGTTAAGATACAGGTCTAGATGCAGAAATGCAGTCAATCTCAAGTAGAATAGGCAAAAAGCGCCTCTCTCCTCTAGCTTTTCCTCAGCACCTTCATTTTCTGATAGGCTTTCTTGGCTAACTCATTTTAATAAGCCCCCCTCTTGCAGAACTGCTCAGTTTGGGTCTAAAGCTCTATGCTATGTTCTCTCTGTAGCTCTGAACATGAATTTATGATGCACAGTTTATGGTTGGCCCACCTAATACTCTCAGTCAGGCCACAGGCCCCTCTCAGCTCGTGGAAGGACTGCTGTTGGTTCGAGTACCGTCCAGTTCATTTGGTTATATTTGGAGAGGGGCCAAAAGGCATACAACACAGTGCACAGAGCGTCGGACCTGAGGCAGAAATTCTCCAGAAGAATCTGGAGACAGAGACAGCAAATGGAATATTCCTTTAAAGCATAGGTGACTGGATGTAGTGGTTTGAACTAGGAATCCAAAGACATAAGCTCAAGACTGACATGTGGCTCACACACAGCCTTAGGAATCTCAGGGAGACCAGGTAGCCTCACACTCTTCCTACGAAGAAAGGGGCATTGATGGGTCTCTGAGCGACCTGAACATAGTGGAAGCAGAGTTGTGTTGTTATGGTGATGGCCTCTTTCGGTGAATAGAGGTGATCCAAACCCTGGGGCAATGCCAGAAATGTCCTCTTTGTCTAGGAGAGCTCCTGATAAAAATCCAGTACAGCTTGTAATTTACTTCGGAGTCATTCAAAAGACCCCTACCCTTTCCTCCTTTCTTCCTGTGAAAGATAAACGTGAGAAGCAGAGAAGTCTCTAATCCCCAGTGAAAGACTTCGCGATAGCCCAGCCTAAACACAGGTGTCCCTGCTTTTAGACTGACCGTGAAGAAAATGTATGCATCTTATCTTTTTACACATCGCCTCCACTGTGGCCATCATCCAGAGTAAGATCCGGGGATGCAGGATTCCTGAGAAAGCTTGGAGCCAGGGCATTGAGGGAGAAAACCTGAGCTTAGAGAGGCCAGTTCAGTCTTTCCACTCAGCGTCTCTGGTGACAGGAGGCTAACAAGGTTCCTTTTTAACTGTGTAAGGTGACCTCCACCCTCCTCTTCCCTTCGCTGATATTAGCTGAATTTCGCCAGTCATTATCTCTGTCTTAAGGTTGTAGGTTAAAATGCCCCTCAATTGTCTCAACTTGCAATGGACCCCACTGCCATTCTCCTATTGCTGAGGGAAGTCTTGATGGGGTCACAGCACTCAATAAAACATTTCTCACGAACAATTCTGTTCTATGGGCAGTAAGGGCATAGAGAGCTGTCTTGTTCCACTGTGGGAGCCCGAGAAGAATGTAACACTTTCAACTTGTAAAAGCAGGAGTGGCCACTTGACGTGGGAAAATGTCCCCCGGGTCATTCGAGTCTACTGTCTCAGTCATATAATGCTGCTAAGACGGAGACTGTACCTTTGTTTTGCAGTGGAGGTGGGCCGTTCTGTATATGGACAGTCATTTGTTACGCGCCACACACAGCTCTCAGGTGGGAATCAACAGTATGCTCTGGTTTCTACGTTCACACAGGTAGAGAGGTCAATTTATCTCTCAATCACTGCTCTTTCTTTGACATTGCTCTCTAAGTGTCCGAGGTGCTCCACGACAAGGAACTGAGAGATGCATGGAAAAGCTTTCTTCTTGAAAACCCAGCCTACAGGGAGAACTCAGACAGCTACAGTTTCCCGTGCCTGCCTCTGGTGGCACACTCATCTTCTTGTTAACATTCTTGGGACTTCCACTGGGACCTGCAGAGTTATGTGCGTGCACAATTTCTATTTTTTTTTTAAAGAAATTCTTTTGTGCTGAATTCCTGCTTTCAGAAAGTTTCAGGGAAAAAGGGGTCACAGGGGTCTGTATGAATGGTGCCACCCAAGGAAGGGTTCACCTGGTCTCTGATCACTCTGTTGTAAGCTCCGCAGTCGGGGGAAAGGCTGCCAGGAAATGAGTCTGATGGTCTGCCTGACTAGGCAGAGGATGGGGGTGGGTGACGGACAGTGCACAATCAACATTGTCTCTATTTCCACTCCACCCTGAAGTTCTGGGCTGGATCGGGTCTCTGGCAAAGCCATCTATACTACGTGAGACTAAGCCACCTATAATACCTGAGGCTCAAGACTTCCTCTCATTTGACCGACATGATTCTGGGGTTCAGAGAGGAGAAAATAACATCTCAGTGACTAGAAAGAGCCTGCCTTACATTCTTGTTCCAAGTTGGGTAGGAAGTTCTGTTACACCGCATTGCTTGTGTGTTGTGATACCTGCTCTCCAAAACTATTCATCTCTCTGCCACTCTGCTAATCCTGCAGCACCTGACTGACTGATCTGAGGTCCTTTCAGGTGGTGCTTGGGCTTCTTTTTAGCCTTGGGTTACCTATCTATCCAACAGTGATTTGTCCTCATGTCTAAGCTGAATAGCCCTGGTTTGCAAAAGAAAGTCAATTTTGTTTTCATGGAGAAATGTAGTGACAAAGCAAGGCATTATTTATGTCTTAGAACAATAAGGACGTCTTCAATAATAACTGAAGCTGAAGCCAGTTCTGCTCTAGACACTATGGGGGATAAAAAGACACATAGGACATGGCGTTTTACGAAAAGAGCTGGACATTCTTTCTAACAGATGAAAACATTAAATGGCAGCTACAGCCACATGCTCATTAATGTGAAAAATGTTGTGGAGAACAGAAAATCCAGAAAACCATGCAAGAAGCTATAGGTAGTTACCTGGTTCCCAGAGAGAGTGATGCTTTCTCTGGTGTTTGAGGATAAGGAGACTATTGGTAGCCATAGTTGTAGGAGATTAGAATTGAGAAGAGTGCAAAGCAAGGTGATTGTTCTGCTAGGAAAGACTGCACTGGGTGTGTGTCCTGCTATGGTCCATATCTAGGAGGCCAAGCTGAACAGGAGCCATGTCAGAGTGATCACCCAGCCACCAGAGGGTAAAATAGCAAGTCTTGCTCTAGATAAACTGATGCATGCATTCCCCGCACTGGACCTGCTCTCCAATCTCTCTGTCTCAGCTTCCGATGGGGAACCTTAGGGGGAAGCTCTGGCAGACTAGACTGGCACAAGTAAGAGGAGCAAGGGTCTTCAAGGTAGGGTGTTCACAGGCGGTGGCATGTTAAACAGGCCGCCATCGAAGAGGCTGTGAAATATTTCCCAGGAGGGATAGATGGAGGGAGGGACTTAGATACAGAGTATTCCAATCTCTCATCTTTTCTGCCAAGGCTTGGGACAAAACTCCAAATAAACATGATGCTCCACAGAGATAGCCTCACAGATAAATGGCTTTCAGTCTCTCCATGGTTTGATTCAACATTACCCAGGCAGGCTGGGTGCAAGATGACTCCATCCTTTCTTTAACGGATTTTCCAGCACGAAGCTGTCATTCTGCCCCTAAAATGAGAAGGAAAAGAGACCAGATACCCCACGATTGTAACTCCTCCTCCCTGGAAATGAAGGTCATAGAGACAACTGTGTGGTATGAGGTGCGGGCAGTTAAGACATCTCCATATTCTAATGAGAAGTGGGAGATGGTAGCACAGAGCGGCTGGCACTCAGTCCTCAGGCAGGACTTTCTGGGTGGTGGATGAGAACTGTGGCCTTGGGAGCCGCCTGGAGCTGGCAGTGGTGTCCACTCTCCATTCACTCTCTAAGTGTCAAGTAGCAAGTGGTTTGGGCCCAGAATGTGGCCTTGGCTTCAGGTGGGCAGAGCAGAAAAGAGGCCAGTCCATCTCCAGGCACCTTTGAAAACCCCCTGCTCTTGTCACCTCGAGAAGAGTGTCCTCCCTAGAGAAGGTGAGGCTCCAGGAGAGTTGAGGGAGGACGTCCAGATGGCTGTCCCGGTGAGACTACATTGTTCAACTCAGGGTCATCAAAATATGAAGTGAAGACTCGGGTATCTGTGCTGGGGATAAGATGGATCACAGTAAGGAAAACCAAACGCTGCAAGTCCTGCTTCTCAGAGCCTCTGCACTCCTCTACTCTCAAAACTCTTGCTTGAAAATGACCAATGAAGATGGATGGAACTAGAAGATATCATCCTGAGTGAGGTAACCCAGACTCAGAAGGGCAAACATGCTATGTACTCACTCATAAGTGGATATGAGCTACAAAGTAAGGGATAACCATGCCACAGTCCACAGACCCAGAGAGGCTAGGTAACAAGGAAGCCCAAGGGGGGAAATGCATGGATCTCCCTGGGAAGGGGAAATAGAGGAGAGCTCCTGGATGGACTGGGGGGGTGGGTGGGCACAGGAACTTGAGGGATAGAGTTGGGGTGTGGGGGGGGCAGTGTTGAGAGAGATGACTGGAAAGGGGGACTTTACGGAGACAGATAAAAGCCCGATGTGAGAGAAACTTCCACAAGTCTACAAGGATGGTCCCAGCTCAGATTCCTGGCAGCAGTGATGTACAGCCTGAACTGGCCATCCCCTGTGAATGGATTGGTGACTACCCTGATTGTTGTTGGAGAGCCTTCATCCAGTGACTGATGGAGGCAGATCCAGAGACCCAAGGCCAAACATTGAGCCAAGCCTGGGAGTCCTGCTGAGGAGAGGGAGGAGGGATTGTAGGAGCCAGGAGGGGGTCCAGGAACATCGAAGGAAAACCCACAGAAACAGCTGGTCAGGCTTAGGGGAACTCACAGTGTCTGAACCAAAAACCAGGAAACCTGCATGGGACCAACCTGGGCCCTCTGCGTATATGTGACGGTTGTGTAGCTTGGTCTATTTGTGGGACTCCTGGCGATGGAAACAGGGGCTGTCCCTGGTGCTTTGGCAGGCTCTTGGGAACCTGTTCCTCATGCTGCCTTGCCTGGCCCAGCCTGAATACAGGAGGAGGTGCTGCCATATTTTGCTGATGTCTGTGGGAGGCCTGCTGCTTTCTGAGCAGATACAGAGAAAGGGTGGATTGAGAGGGGGACAAGAGAGGAGGGGGGAGGGAGGGAAAGGAGAGGAAGGAGGCGAGTCTGCAGTTGGGGTATAAAATAAATAAATAAGTCAAATTAAAAATAAAATTGAAAAAAGAAAGAAAATGACTGCTGAAAACAGCTTGCTATGGTTCGGCCAGAAGAGCTCTGGTGTCCCTTTGTTTATCTGGGGACGAGCTAAGGCCACTGGAGATGAGCTGACACTACCAGGGCTGAGGTGACTTTCCCCGGGGGCCGGGGCTGGTGGAGTTCAAGGTGACAAGTCTCGTATTTCCAATTTAGGATTTCTTTCTTCCAACCCACACCTGGTGCGGTAAAAGTGCCCAAATTTATTTCGTTGGCCCTGCTAACAAAAGGGTGGAGTCCAGGGTAAGAGAGCACACTCTGTAGGATGACCACCCTAAACATCACCACGGCTGTCCCAACCCCAGCTGTCTGAGTGTCTTTCTGGGTCTGGCTGTTGTCAATACTTTCCCGGTACTCTGCCCATCTTCTTTTCCTCCAGCTTATGATTGGGGAGAAAAGGCCAAGGCAGGGCAGGGAGGCAAGATACAAGGAGGGAAAAAGAGGCAGCGGAGAGAAGCATGCAAAGCCGTGAAATCTAATTGAATGCTTCATATATACCAGGTCATATCACCCAAGTTATTTTGTTTGATCCTCAAAATTATCCTGTTGTCACCCTTGAACATACAATTGTGTAATTTAAGGAAAGTGCACAGCCAGAAAGTAACAGAAAAAAAATTATACCCAGGGATAATGACTGACAGAAAGTGGTCCTTTCTACTCTAGAGGAGGAAGGCAAAGGCAAAAGTATGTTATGTTCTATTCTTCAGAGCAGATCAGAATGTCATGTTTCCCCTTAAGTACAAATTTATTCCATTATTTTGACAGAAGGGCTGAGAATTGGCAAAGCTGGTATTTACCTTTCTAGCATTATCAAAGAAATGGGAGACGGAGCCCGACACCCCCACACCATGAGTCAGGGGTGCATTCTTAGTGCACCCAAGGCAAATGACCCATGTCCAGCAGTTTAATACTTTGAAAGTGAAGTTTCTATAGGAATACCTTGCCTTTTATGCTCTAGAATGGAGGGTTTGTTCAAGGTTAGCCACTGCGGAATAATTTTGTAGAGGTCCTGGTGGCCCCTGAAGGAAGGCAATCCACAGAACTGTCCCTGTCCCTTCTGTTAGTAGCTGAGCCCCACCTACCTAGTATCCTTTTGGTGTAACTGCTGTGACAAAAAGTCCCCATGCCAAGAGGAAGTCTTTCCTGGCTCCTTTGGGTGTAACGTAGCCAGCAGAGGTTAAAGGTCGGTAACAGGGATTGTCTTACATGGCAAGGAACTTGCTGTGTGAGCAAAGCCCAAGTGACCGGATGGGAGCTTTGTCCAAACTCTGGGACCTGGGAGAGGCTGGGAAAGGAAGAATGAGAAGTGTCCACGGGAGTCCAGGATGGAGGGTCAGGAAACCATTGCCACCCTGCACTGTGGAAACAGAAGAGCCTGGAGACGGAGCCGCACATCTCAAGGCAGTTGCAGGCTGGAGAAATAGCAGGCGTGCTCATCACCTGGCCAGGTTTCCCTCCCATCTTCCAGCACCTTCTTCCTCTCCCATCTGTCTCTTCCAACTTCTCTTTCTCCCGTCTTTTGCTTTCCCATGACCTCTTCCCTCCCACCTCGGTCTAGCCTTCCCATCCTGCTCCTCTCTCTCTATCTCTTCTTCTTCCTCATCTCCACCTCCCTCTTCCAGTCAGGAGTGTGCAGCCTGTGGTCCATGGTTGCACGCACCAGCAGCCTGTGGCCAAAGATGGTCTGAATGCGCACCAATACAAGCTTATTTAAAACGTTATGAGATGACGTGCACATATCTAAATAGATATATTAACTCCACTGCACAATTCATAAGCGTGAACTTCATAGAGGTCAATCTTGTGTGGCAATGTCGAAAAGTTGTATGTGCCTGTGAGTGTCTCGGAATTACCTCATGGAACCCAGGAGTCTTAAATTTCATTTAAATTTGAGAGTCACCGTGGTGTTGAGCTTCAGCTGTTGATGTTGGGAGTCCCTGAGGTTCAATGTCCTGCAGAAACGCACCCTGGTCTCAAGGTAGTAAGCTGGTTAGGAATATTCAAACAGAGAGATCTGTAAAAATTCCACACACGATGCACAGAGCGTCATAGGTTCCCTGATGCCTTTACCCTCCCCTCAGGAGACTAAGTCGGAGCTTGGCACAGAGGGGGGAGGAACACGTACCAAGCAAGGTACATTGTGGAGTTTTCTATGCGTTAGTCCCTGTTCTGTCCCCTAGATGTCTTCCTTCATGCACCTTTTCCAAACGCACCAAGTTATGTGACCTAAGTCATGACTCCCCGTTATTAGAAGCTATTCTGGCTGCTGCCCAGTTGTTGAAGTGTTGAGACGATGAGAGAAAATACAGGAACTGCTTGAACTCCCGCCCAGTCCTCTTTCTTCTTCATTCCCTCCCCAGGCTCCAGGAGCCATTGCTTCCTCATGCCTAGAGACTCTCACTTTAGTGCTCAGACTCCCTGACCAGCTGCTGCCCTAGCCCCTTGATCTTCTCTCACGTCTAGGATCAAATGTCATCTTCGGTTTAGGGGGAGAAACTTTCTCTAGTTCTGTATGTTGGACATAGGTAGCATTAAGCTTTTTTATTTTTTTTTTCTATTTTTAAAAATCTTGATTACTCTTTACAGAGTTTGTGTTGGCATACAACACATGGAAGTCTTCCTCACAGTTCACGTAGCTGATTTCCTGTTATGGAACTATGGCACCCATCACCATTGACTCCTCAGAAACTGGAAAGATGACCCATTGGGTGTGACACACACAAGCTCCACTCTCCACTTCTCCTTTGTAGCCCAATTCACAGGGTATAATTATGAGTTTGTGTTGTTTTTTTTCTCCACTCCCAGGCTCTAAGGCTCTGTGGCGGGCAAGAATCACACATATTTAGTTCACTCAACTTTCACTAGGCACCCAACATCTTACATTCTATAACTGCATAGACCAACTCTAGCTATATATTAAACACAAAGGGAGTTAATAACAAGAAAATAAATCTCTGTCTCTCTGTCTCTGTCTCCGTCTCTGTCTCTGTCTCTCTCTCTCTCTCTCTCTCTCTCTCTCTCTCTCACACACACACACACACACACACACACACACACATATCATCACCACTACCACCACCACCAAAACAAACAAACGGTACCAACACTTACGCAGGCATTCTGTATCGACTGATCCAGGTGCCGCCTCCCCATCAGCAACCCTTAACACTCTGCAAAGTGATGCTCCATTAAAGCCAACACGCTGTGTCTGGGCTTCATGCCTTGCTCCTCTGCACTTGTTGCCTACCTGTCTCCCTTCCCTAGCCAAAGCTGCATCTCTTGGTTGCTGGCTGGCCTATTCCCTCACGAGCCTGTCTGTTTTGGCCTGACTCATTCCAGGGCCCACCCTAACACATTCCTATTTCTCTTTAAATGACTATTTATGGCCTGTTACCTCCAGGACACAGCTCCTGATGAAAACAGTCCAGACCCAACGCCTCCTGTGTAATTGAGAATCCAGTCCTCCTTAAAATTCTTTTACACTGTTTTCCATAATCATGTGCTTCTGTTGGCAGCCCGTGGGTGCGATTGATCTGGACTGTAAGCTCCTGGAACATGGCTATAGCCCAAGGGCTGAAATGGCAGAAACCACCAGGTTGAACTGTGTAACCAGAAAGTGAGACGAGAAGGCGTTCTGGGTATGCATAATTGTGAGACGTGGGCAGACAGAGGCAGGCCGGCTGGGCACAGGATCTCTGCTGCACTGTGGATGCTCAGAAGGATGGAGGGCGGAAGGATGGCTGCTGTGGTCCTTTCCTGGAGCCCAGTGAAGAGTCACCTAGCGGGAGGTCAGACCTGTGCTCTGTAGCCCAAGAAGACAGACCCAACTTGGAGGATGGAAGACAGCCGAAGCCGATTCAGCTTCATGGGAAAATGGGTGTTTTTACTGTTCGAGTGGCCCTGGCTGGCCCGGGTTGTCTCTTAGCATCAGTGATTTGTAGACCAGCCTCCCAGTGTGCTCTGCCCCCTCCCATGTTCCTACCCTACTTTGCTACTATTTATGTAGCCTCTTTATTTGCCCAATATTTTTATTTTTTCCTTGGTTTAACTTGTTCTCTGAGAATGTTCTACAACATCTTTTGATCGTATTCTCCTCTTCTCTCAAACTCCTCCCATACCCTTCTTAGCCCACCCAATTGTATTCTCTTTTAAAATATTTAAACCACCCAACCTGGCTTCTCCTTGCCATAAAAGGGCACCCATGAAGTTATAGATTAGATGTGTAAGTGATTAATAGACACACACACACACACACACACACACACACACGATATTCACATGTATATTTTTGTAAGTGCGTAGGTCAGGATACCATAGGTAGATAAGCATAGTCTCAACTCCTTTCACATACCTGAGCCAGTGGGATGACGTCAGATAGATCCCACTTTCCAGCTTGGGAAGGGCATTTGGATTTTCTAAATCTTGGCTTTCTAAACTGTAGAAAACTCTTGCCCATGCCTGTCTGTGGGCAAGAGGTGTCAACATGTGTTCAGCTCCCACCTGCTGCTGATCAGCACCGTTCAGTGACCCAACTTCCTGGCAGCAGGAGAGTGTCTTTCTGGAACTGGGACTAGCAGAGGAGAAGCCATCTAAAGCCATCAAGGCTGAAGCTGCCTCCACTTCTGATACCTCAACTACAGCTGTGCCTTTAAAGACTTGGGACATGAACACCCGCCATCTGGGTGACACTTCCTCCTCCTCACTGCCCTGACCTCTCCCAGTTATCTTTTCTGGGAACGCTTCCTCCCTTTATACTATGCATTCATGAGTTTGCGAGTCCCTTGTGAACTCTGCACATGTGGAATGCAGTGTGGACACGAGTGTGTGTATGTATATGCGTGGCTGTGTATAGTACCTGCAGTATGTGTATGTGATGTGGTAGGTGTGTATGATGTATGTGTGCCATGCATGTGGTAAGTGCATATGTGTTACACGTGTGTTATATATGGTTTGCAATGTGTAAATGTATGTAACAATACAGTTGTGTGCATGCTATGTACATATGTGACATGCTGTGTATGTATGATGTACAGGGTGTACTGTATAGTGTGTATGATGTATAGCATGTATATAGTACAAGCGTACTATGTACTTGCTGCATATGCACATGGGATATGACTGTGGTGTGTTATGTTTATAAGTGGTGTATAGTGAGTATTTTATGGGTAGGTAGGTAATACGTGGAAAGTGTGTGTCATATGTGGCATGTGATATGTTGAACATTGTATATGTATGGCTCATGTTATGTGTATGGCCTGCGAAACATGTGATGCATATATATTATGTGGTATGTGGTGTAGTGTGAGTGTGTATGGTATAAAAGTATTTATTTGATGTGTGTGTGTGTGTGTGTGTGTGTGTGTGTGTGAGAGAGAGAGAGAGAGAGAGAGAGAGAGAGAGAG